AGAAGGCTAGCGGCCGTCTCGCTAATTCACTTGTGGATCACTCAAACTCCGAAGTGGCCAGACTGCTGACCAACCCCCATGTCCCTAATAGATTGAAATCTAGCCGCCACAGATATGACAATCAACTCCGGAAGTTTATCCTCCCGCGTTGTAATGGACAACGTCAAGAACAACCAAATCCAGATTTGGATCCTACTCGATACTATTCCGAAGCTGAACGCAAAGTTATAGCAGAGAAGTATGTACCCATCCTGAGGAAAGGACTTCCTACTCTGCTGAGGTTAGAAAATGAAGAACAGGAAAGACTGGAAAAGGCTAAAATGGACAATAGAGAGGCCGAACGGAAGAAAAAAACCATACAAACACCCGGACAGATTCTGCGAACTACAAATAAACGTGTACAGAAAAATGTATGCTCAAGGGAAATTTACTAGGGAAACAATACTTGAAAGAATCAGGGGCCAACCATTGGGTATACAAAGAATTATAGTGCCAGACCACAGAGGGGATGTAGAGGAAGGCGTCCTCCAGCCGAATGGTTAAGACTTGATCCAATGGTACAGCAAAAATCCAGAAAGTATAAACCTACAAATAAAACTAATTAAAAGCAGCCAAAACATAACTTAAACCACTTACCAAATCACCTCCAAGCAAACCAATCAAAACCTGCAAATAAAATACAATCAAAATCAGCCAAAACAGAAATAAACTCGCTTACCAAATTCAACGCACACCTCCAAATAAACCAATTGAACCTGCAAATAAAATACAATTAAAATCAGTCAAAACACAAATTAATTTACTTACCACGCTAGCATTCAAGCAAACCAATCAATATCTGCAAATAAAATACAATCAAAATCAGCCAAAACAGAAATAAACTCGCTTTCCAAATTCAACGCACACCTCCAAATAAACCAATTGAACCTGCAAATAAAATACAATTAAAATCAGTCAAAACACAAATTAATATACTTACCACGCTAGCTTCCAAACAAACCAATCACAATCTGCAAATAAAATACAATTAAAATCAGCCAAAACAGAAATAAACTCGCTTACCAAATTCAACGCACACCTCCAAACAAACCAATTGAACCTGCAAATAAAATACAATTAAAATCAGTCAAAACACAAATTAATATACTTACCACGCTAGCTTCCAAACAAACCAATCACAATCTGCAAATAAAATACAATTAAAATCAGCCAAAACAGAAATAAACTCGCTTACCAAATTCAACGCACACCTCCAAACAAACCAATTGAACCTGCAAATAAAATACAATTAAAATCAGTCAAAACACAAATTAATTTACTTACCACGCTAGCTTCCAAACGAACCAATCAATATCTGCAAATAAAATACAATCAAAATCAGCCAAAACATAAATAGACTCGCTCACCAAATACAACGCAAACCTCCAAATAAATCAATTGAACCTGCAAATAGAATACATTTAATAATCAGTCAAAACACAAATCAATTCACTTACTACGATAGCCATCAAACAAACCAATCAAAACCTGCAAATAAAATACAATCAAAATCAGCCAAAACAGAAATAGACTCGCTTACCAAATACAACGCAAAACTCCAAATAAACCAAATGAACCTGTAAATAGAATACATTTAATAATCAGCCAAAACACAAATTAATTCACTTACTACGATAGCTTCCAAGCAAGCCAATCAATGGCCTGCAAATAAAACACAAACAAAACATAAACCTGAAAATAAAATAATATTAAAATCAGCCAGGAGTTTCATATTCATCCACAGAAAGAAGCATATGCGTGCGTTCTTCCTAGAGTTGCATCGACTGGATTCGGCCAGGAGGAGAGGGACGAGGCGATGCCGCGCTTGCGATGCCGATGCTTTGGAGGTCTCCCTGTCGTCCATGCCTCCGTTTCGCACCGGATGAGGGGTCCAGGAGCGGCGTTACAAAATTTTTTTACACCTAAGTCAAAAAAAAAAAAAAAAGAAAAAGAAAACACAAGCCAATCTTAACTTGTTTACATATCGATGTTATCGAACTGTATAGTATTTTTCAGTATATTTTATCAATGTTACCGTAATGTTAAAAAAATACCTAAATGTTAAAAAATTTGTAAGTTTCCATAAATAATGTTAAATGTTGCTAATAAGTAATAAGAACACTAATAAAGATTGCGTCAGGTCACACTAAGTGCCCTGAGCAAGTTTGAACATCAAAAAAACTGAAGCGCGTCCGCGCCGAGGTGGATGATGATGATGACGATGATGACAGTGATGATATGGTTGTTGAGTTTGATGACGATGACGACGACGACAATTTGGATGCCAATTATGCATCGGCCAAACGACGACTCCGGGAAAGTAACCAACAGGCAAGCAAATCCCATATCCCCCAAATTCAAAACCATCTCCATCACCAACAATCAAACCAGCAACAGCAACAACATCAGCGGACAATTACACAAAATGCCCCTGCCCCCGCCCCTGCCCCTGCCCCTGCCCCTGCTCCAGCCAATGCTCCACTAGCTCTACCTCACTCACCTGCAAATGCAACTAGTAGCTGCGGCACAGGAACCCACAGCAGCAGCAGCGGCGGCGGCGTTGGGCTGCTCCAGCTGCCCGCCCTGAGTATGCCCAATGCCAGACAAATTCGGATGCTGCAGCGACAGCACCAACCAATGACAATCATTCCCCCCCCCATCATTCTGCCAGCTGTCCCCGACATTATGCCCATTCTGGACAAGCTGCAGAAGGACCCGAGGGTGGGCAACAGCAGCTATCACACCAAGCTCATCAGCCGCAATGGTGTCCGTATCCAGGCCCGCGACATGGCTACCAGGGATGCCATCATGGCAGTCCTGGGCGATGGCGACGGCAACGAGGCGATGACTGGCCACTACACACACCAGCACAAGAGTGACCGTGGGCTACGGATCGTCGTGCGAGATCTCCACCACTCCACAAGCACCCAACTAATAAAAAATCAGATGGCCGAATTGGGTTATTATGTTATATTTATTAGAGCCATTAAAGGGAGATCCGATGGACAGCCGCTCGACCAGTTCGAGTTGGAGATAGCCCCCAAGCCGGATGAAAGCCACCACGATGTCCTCCAATTAACCCAGCTGGGCAACCAGTTGGTGACCGTTGAGAGGCAGGCCAAGCCGGTGGACCCAGCCCAGTGCCACAGATGTCAGGCATTCGGGCACACCCGCGCCTACTGCAGGCGTTCATTCGTCTGTATGAAGTGTGCGGGTGCCCACGCGTCCACGGCATGTGCCAAGCCAAGGGCAGACGCTCCTAAATGCGCCAATTGCCAGGGCGCCCACATCAGCGCCTACAAGGGATGTCCGGTATTCAAGGCAGCAAGGGGCCGCCTTCTGTCCCACCGAGTGGCCATGCAGGAGTTGCGTCGCAAGCGCAGCTCGCTTCTGCAGCCATTGCCAGAGCAGCAGCCACCACCAGCAAGAACAACACCAGCACATCCAGGGCGCCGACAGCAGCAGCAACAGCCAGCTCAAACGCCAGCCAATCCCCGGCGTGGACAGCAGCAGCAGGCAGCACGGACGCCACTCAATGTCTCCTCTCCTGGGCGACGAAGAGGACGACAACAACATCAGCAGAAGCAGCAGCAGCCGCCAATACATACAAATAAACAGACGCCTGCTGCCTCTGGCCCACGCACTGGGCGACGACGCCCAGAGCAGCCATTGAGCCGTTCCCAGGCACAACAACAGCAGCAGCTACAGCAGCCGCAGCGCGAACAACAACAGCGACAGCGACAGCAGCAGCAGCAGCAGCTTGCCAACAACCGCTCCCGGCAGAAGATGCAGCCGAAACGCCAATCCTGCGAGGGATCCTGCAGCCAGGCACTGTTGGAGAATACGCAGAGGATGACGCGATTGGAAAAGAGACTGGAAGCGATGATGTCACTACTCACCTCGCTCATCCAATCCCAGGCAGTGACGGCAACTCCAGCAGTTCCAGTGACATCGCAAAATCCACCAACAATCGCAGCAGCAACAGTGGCTGCCCCAGCTCCACAGCCATCACAAAAAACGCCAACGCCAGCCGCCATTCCAGAGACGGATCCTGAAACGGATGAAGAAAACGATGACGATGAGATGTGGACAGATGACGACTCCATGGATGACATTAAGGCCTACGCCCGCAACATGAGGTACCATCTTGACAACCAGATATCCTGGAACGCTGTGTACTAATTGGACACATCTCTGCCGCTGCAATGGATTAAAGGACAAATGCATATCAATCGCATGCCACAACAAAAATTAACAACGGACGCTGCCGCCATCAAAACAATTAAATACTTACCGCCTGCCATTCAGACACACACACACACAAACATCCATTACACTTGGGCGGCCGGACCTGTGCCGTTCGTGTAGATGTGTGTCGTGTCCGCCATCGTCCTTAGCTGGTGGCCGGATCCAGTGCCATGGCATTCAGAGGGCCCTATGAACCTGGAAAAGGAAAAATCCATCAGCCAAACATACGATTAAAAAGGGCGCTCAAAATACTCACCGCCTGCCATTCAGACACACACACACACAAACATTCATTACACTTGGGCGGCCGGACCTGTGCCGTTCGTGTAGATGTGTGTCGTGCCCGCCATCGTCCTTAGCTGGTGGCCGGATCCAGTGCCATGGCATTCAGAGTGCCCTATGGACCTGGAAAAGGAAAAATCCATCAGCCACACATACGATTAAAAAGGGCGCTCAAAATACTCACCGCCTGCCATACAGACACACACACAAACAAACATCCATTTCACTCTGGCGGCCGGACCCGTGTCGCCACAGTAATATGTATGCCGTCAATCCTGGCTCCCAGCTGGTGGCCGGACCAGTGCCACTGGTCCTCCAAGAGGGCAGCCACAGCCGCAACGACTGACGACTTTTGGAAGACGCCAATTTCGACGACCAGGGGGGACGACGGGGTCGGCCGGTATGCAACGCAATGTCTTTACAAGCATTGTGTTTTGCTATGCCGGCCGATGCTTCTTGTCTTCCCTGTAATTATAGTAAAAGATATAGACATTATTTTGAATTGTTATGTTTATTGTAATATTGTAAACGTAAATCAATTGTACCTGTTTTGTCTCGTCTTTGTCCCAGTGTAGTATCTCTTTTATTACCTGTTTTTCCGTCGTCTCCACTCCAGTCTTCTACTTACCTGTATTGTTATTTCTGCAAGTGCTTGTCTCTTTTTATTTAGTGTATTTCCACGCAAAGCACATGCATTGTTTACCTTTTCCCTTTATCTATTTCCCCAACTGACTACGTGTTGCAACACTGCACATTTCTGCACATTTCGATCTCATTTCTTTAACCCCTTCTTCCCCCCCTTATTGTTACTATCGTAATTAGTGCGGTTCTCCGACACCCCACTAAAAAAATCATTACAATCTGTGATAAAACTTCGGCGGCAACGGTGCTGACAATTGATTATCGGTATCGTAATCGACTTTCAAATCAGCATCAGTTGCCGCCACACCCCACCACTACGGCCTAAATTGAGCCAAATTTGCAAGTCTTCGCATAAAACCACTACGTTCCCTATAAACTGCCCGCCCACATGTACATGATACATTCCTAGTCGTCTGCCCTCAGCAGGCGGCAAGGGTAGTAGAGGGGACTGAAGACCAACAACCAACAAAACATCAAGTTGACAAACTCACAGGGGATCAAATCAAATTTTAAGTTGGGGAGAATTTAAGGGAGGAGACAGCATACTTTTGAGCGTGGCCCCATTTTACTTTACTTTCTTGACTCTCACCGCACACACACACACTTGACTCTTGACAATTCATACTTTTGGAGCCTTTTGCCCCGATCGTGGAATCGAGTCTCGAGTCTGGATCTCTGTCCAACCAACAAAAAGTCGTGTCGTGAACGTTGTGGAGTCGAGTCGTGTTCGTGGTTTAGTCCCCCCGTCAAAGTGCCGAAAAGTTTATATCTCTCTCGTTTTCTTTTTCCCTTGCCCCCCCCCCTGCTGAGTGTTAAAAGAGGTTACAAGTGTTTAACGTTGCTGCAGTTTATATGTTTGTAAATTATTGTGCCATTAAATGTACCAGTAAAAAGTGTTTGAGTGCCGTTTAAAGTTAAATTGTAAAAACAAACAAAAATGTACATCTACTAAATTAAGACATATACTGCCCACAAAGATAAATTAATAAAGCAACGCGCTTGGTTGCTGGCGGCTCACACCCCAGCCTCTCAGTTCCTCCCCTGTATGGAGCACTGAGAGCCCTCAACCCAAAGCGGGTATATAATTGGAAAAAACATCAACATCTACAGTTCCTAGTGCTGCTCGTGTAGGTGCTGCTCAACGCACGCCAGTTTCTACTGGTGCTGCCCGTGCTGCTGCTGCCTCTGCTGCTACCTGTGCCCCTGGCAGTTCTGCCACTGCTGTCGCTACCAATCCTACTGCCCTTGCAGCATCCGTGCCGAGCCAGATGACTCTGCACGAGATACTCAAGGAACAGCGGGAAAAACTTGCAAAGGAGAAGAAGGTGATGGCCATGCTGAAGGCCGAGTCGGAGGCCCGTAACAAGAAGCGGACGACCACCCTGGCCTCGCCTATCACAAAGGTGTCGGCCAAGATGGTCAAACGGATGGTATCCTCGAAGGAGAAGCGGGACCCAAACCAGATGAGTATATCAAACTATTATAACATTCTCTCTGATGCTGATATGGATGTGGATGCTGACTGCAGCGAGGGAGAGACAGAAGCCGAGGAACCTGTTCCCACAAACAGGCCCTCTACTTCTCAGACTACCCCCCCGCCTGCCCCTACTACTGCGCACGCTACAAATGCTGCTGCTACTGCTGACGCCAAAATTGTGCGGCCAGCCCCTATTTACATACCAAATGTTACAGATATCTTTCCCCTGCTACAGTGCTTCGATAATGCCATTGGCGCTGGTACATATGATACCAGGCCGGCTGCTAATAGGTCTTTGAAGGTAATGTGCCACACTATAGATGGACATAGGGCCCTGATCCGTCTCCTAACTGAGGGGGAAGGTGTTGAGCACCATACGTTTCGCCTGAAAAGCGAGAGGGGAATGCGTATTGTTATACGCCACCTGCACCGCTCCACACCCACAGATTGGGTGCGTGAACAGCTTGGTAGACTCGGATATAAGGTGAGGCATATTGCCAATATACTTAAGAGATTTACTAAGGAGCCACTGGACTTATTCGAGGTTGAGCTAGAGCCTCAGGATATTAACAATAGTATCTACGAGCTGACGGCAATCTGCAGCCAACGGGTCAAGGTGGAGAAGCCCATACGTACGCCAGGTGTTCCTCAATGTCATAAGTGTCAGATGTTCGGGCACTCGAAGAATTACTGCAACCGAGCAGTTATTTGTTTGAAGTGCGGCGATAAGCATGACCCCAAGGACTGCCCCAAGAAGAGGGAGGAGGTGCCGAAATGCGCAAATTGTGAAGGTCCCCATGTTGCCAGCTACCGTGGCTGTGTAAAGTATAAGGAGTACTGCAATAAAAGAAGAAATGGGTTAGATCAGACCAACAAAATGCTAAATAAACTTTCGATGCCTACCTTACCCGCCACTCAGGGTTTGCGGCGTCCCCGCCAGCCACCCGTCATGAACCAGCAGGGATTTCCAGCACTGCAGCAACCTAGCCGCCGGCGAGCGCGCTCTGGCGCAAGAGCTCCTGCTCCTCCAGCTCAAACGAGCAGTTATGCCGATGCACTCCGCACACGGCAACCAGCGAGTCATTCCCAGCCTCTTCCTGGGAGGCAAGTATGGCATTCGGTGCCACCAACAGCGGCCACAACTGGATACCAGCCCGTGGTGAGCAGTCAGAGTGTCCGTCCTAGCGATGAGCTCAGCCAGAAACTGGACTACCTCATCACCCTGCTGACTCAGGAGCGGATCCAGCATGCGGCCGCCGCTGCTGAATCTACTCAAAAACTGGAAGGAAAAATGGATATATTAATTGAACAAATGACTAAATTAACAGATTGTCTATATGCCAGCATTCAGGCTAACTCCTATGCCAGAAATGTTTAATAATAATCCCAGTAACTCTACCCGCCACCACTGCAATCTAAAGATTGTATTTTGGAACGCCTCGGGACTCCGAGGGAAGACAGCCGAACTTGCGGCATTTGCATGCAGACACGAAGTTGACGTTCTGATGGTCTCTGAGTCTCATTTTAAAAACTCAGAGACCTTCAGCGTCAATGGATACTGTACTTACAGTGCCAATCACCCATCTGGGACTGGTCGTGGGGGATCCCTGCTCTTAATCAGAGCTGGAATCCTTCATATTGCCCTGCCTAACATAACGACGGACCACATTCAGTGTGCATCCGCTACCCTGACCCTGCCTGATGGTGGCCGACTGGTGGTCTCTTCCATTTACTGCCCCCCAATGCAGGAATGGACTGAGGAGGACTTCTTGGCATTGTTTGGTCAGTTGGGGCCAAGATTCATTGCTGCCGGCGATTGGAACGCGAAGAATTCGTGGTGGGGAAACGCAAGGGCGTGTAGAAGAGGCGGAAAGCTGCTCAGGGCCGTTCAAGAAAGTAGCTGCAACATTCTGGCTACTGGATCTCCCACTCACTACCCTTACAATACTCGGCATACACCATCGGCAATCGACTTCGCGGTCTACAAGGGCGTGAGGGACGAGTTGCTGCATATCTCCCATCTGAATGACCTCTCATCTGATCATCTCCCAATGGTGGTTCAGTTGAGCATGTCTCCAGCGGAGGCGGTGAACAGGAGACGCCTCTTGCCCCCAGGGGCCAGCATCTCGAGGTTCCAAGCGTGGCTGGACTCGCACATCCATCTAAACACTGAGCTCAGGTCAGCAGAGGATGTTGATGACGCAGCGAGCATTCTGGAGAGGAACGTGTTGGAGGCAGCTGAACATGCCACAAGCGGTTTGAGGAGGCCCGTCCGACCTAGAGTCCAAGCTGAGTACCAGGTCAGCAATCGAATTCGGCTGATGATTGCCACCAAGAGGCGCCTAAGGAATATGCTGAAGCGGAACCATGACCCAGCAGTGCGGCACCTGTACAACATGCTAGCCAACAGGATCCACAAGGAGCTAGAAGCGGACAAAGCCAGACGAGCGGACGCAATCATTGGTTCAATCGATCCCACTGATCGCTACAGCATGGCAAAGCTGTGGAGATTGACCAATGGATTGAAGCGGCAGCCAGCAGCCAACTTGCCCGTGAGAAAGTTTTGCGCCGATGGAGAAGACAACGCTGATGATCCCTGGTGCAAGAGCACGGAGGAGAAGGCAGAGTCCTTTGCGAGGCATCTGGAGCAGCGTTTCAAGCCTGTTCTGACCAGCGCGGCAGCCGACATACGAGCAATCGAGGAGTCTCTTGAAGAGTTTGGATCCCCTGGTCCCAATTTGAGATTCAGGGCGATCACTCTTCCGGAGATTGAGGCACAAGTCAAGGTACTGAAGGTGAAAAAGGCCCCTGGAATGGACAGGATTGACAATCGGACTATAAAAGCTCTACCCAAATCTGCTCTCCTGTATTTTGCACTCATATGCAACAGCTCCCTCAGGATTGGTTGTTTTCCTAACAGATGGAAGCACGCAGCTGTTAGCATGATCCCCAAGCCAGGAAAACCCGCCGATAAGTTGGCATCGTATCGCCCTATCAGTCTGCTTTCGGGTCTGTCTAAACTGTTTGAGCGACTCATTCTGACCAGGATGATGGAAGCTGATGGATTTGTCGAGGCTATTCCAAACCATCAGTTTGGCTTCAGACATGTGCACGCGGCTGAACACCAATTGGGGAGAGTCTCGAAGTTCATTTTGACCACATATGAGAACAACCTGTACTGCTCAGCCATCTACATGGACATACAGGAGGCTTTCGACCGAGTCTGGCATTCTGGCCTGAAATACAAGATGAAGCAGTTGTTGCCGGTGGCGTTATACAGAGTCCTGTCCCACTATTTGGATGATCGGTCCTTTTATGTTGAGTGCACAGGCGGCGTCAAGTCAGGGTACAAAAAGATTGCAGCAGGCGTTCCTCAGGGCAGCGTACTTGGGCCAGTGTTATACAACCTGTATACACACGACATGCCGCTTCCTCGCGACAGGGGTATGCTCCTGGCTACCTATGCTGACGACACAGCAATCCTGGCGACTGGTATGAACCAGCTCATGGCGACCAACAAGCTCAACCGCTTCCTGCACAGCATCTCCAACTGGGCAAAGCAATGGGGCATCACCATTAACGCGTCCAAAACTGTGCATATAGTGCATACGTTGCGCTCGATCCAGCAGCCAGATGATGATTTGCAGCCGCACATCGCCGACCAGCGAATCAGTAGCGTCGCCGTGCATTCCTATCTGGGGGTCAAGCTGGACGCCAAGCTGCAGTTCCACACACACATCACCAACGTCGTCACCAAGGTCAGGGCAAGGGTCCAAAAACTGCGCTGGCTCCTAAACACAAACAGCAGGCTGAATCTCAACACCAAGGTAATGCTGTACAAGCAAATGATCGCACCGATCTGGCAGTACACATTGGCCGTATGGGGCCCATTAGCGAGCAGCGCAGAATTTGGACGAATACAAGTGGAACAGAACAAGACCCTTCGACTTATTTGCAATGCGCCATGGTACGTGAGGAACGACACCATCCACAGGGACCTGGAAGTGGACACGGTCGAGGCAGTCTACGAGAGGACGTGCAAGAGGTACACGGAGCAGATGAGATCCCACCACAACATTGAGGCAGCCAAAGTGGTCAATGACCCGTATGTACCGCACCGAATCACTAGACCCCGGTACTCCGAGTACCTTAGCAAACACCTTCCCAAAGAACTCGCGAAACACGAATGGAACCGTATCGAGATGATCCCTAACCAGCGCCCGTACACGGAGGAGGACCAAATCAGCCACGACAGGAACCTCGATGAAACGCGGAGGATGCTCATCAGAATGGATCGCCCAGTGTCGCCACCACAAGAGTTTAACTACTACACCGAGGTTATTCTGCCAAGACGGAGGTTACTGGAGCCTGCTCCCATAGCTACGGTAGATTTGACGATCAGCAGCAGAAGGCAGCGACTGGAGCAATTGGGCCTGGCAATGGAAGCAGCTTTAAACGAGATATCCACCGAACAATTGCCTGACACACATTCGCGGCACAGCGATAACGGCCAAGGCAATGGAAGCTCACACACACACACCAACACAAATGCCCATGAGAATCAACCACCGCCAGCAACAGGAATAAGTCCAGAAAACAGCAGCCAAAATGTACAGCAGCAATGAAGACTTACCGCCAGCAAAGTCCCGTTCAGCCCCTAAGAGTGCAACAACCATGGCTGCCACATTCGTACACAGAATACACACACACACGGAAAAAAAACACAGAGGCATATGCGAGCGCGACAAATAGCCGTTGCGGTATGAGAACACTAACAAATATCACTCCGAACCGACCAACTGGCGACATGGAAATGGACAGCTGCAAATTGTTGAAAAGAGTAGAAGACTCATGCGACCGACTGCCAAAAACGCGTCCGACCAAGGCGCCGCTGTTCACAACTATGAGCGTTAGCATTTCTGCTGCGCAATTTCTGTTTCTCCTTCTCCTATAGATCCCGAACTGGCGCCAGTGATCTCCCTGAGAGGAAGAGAGAAGACAACAACAACTTCTGGAAGGTGGTGGATTTCTGCCATTTCCACTGCCGAGACAACTGACTGCTGCGCAAAACCACATACACACACATCCACACAGACTCTCAACCCAATGCTGGCCGCCCCGGACCAGAGGGCGGAACAGAAACGAAAGAAGAAACGAAGGAAGAAACAAAATAAACAATAGCTCTGGCTGCCCCGGACCAGTGGGCAGAGGAGAATCAAAAGAAGACAAAAAATAAATAGAAGACAATAATTAGAATAAATAAAATATATACATAATCGCCCTCCCTGCCAATGTAAGGCAACCAACATGTTCCCCCTTAATTATAGTCTACATTTAAAATCTAAACTAAGTCGAGAGTATTATGCTTTAACTCTACCCACTCCCCCTCCCCCCTTTGGCAAACGGACTGTTTACCAAAGCGGAGAGATATATACAAAAGATGACTGCGCCGGCAGAACTGCTGGCAATGAGATTTCTTGCTGTAAAAAAAAGCACTGTATTCGCTGCCTACGGCTGCTAAATAGCAGCCTGTAGACAGCTGTATACGTACATTTATTATTAACAGCCCCAATACATTGTACCTAAAATGCTAAGAAGTATCTGTACAATAAAGTCCACATAGCGTAACGTAGCCCTGGCTCCCCTAACCTGCTGGAGCAGGCCAAGGCTCGAGCCGGGTTACGTTGCGTTATGATAGTTACGTATCGCCTCCGCTGCATACGACACATCAAAATTGCGCCCCCTCTCCTGTCGTTCGACCTCATTGGCGGATCTGACAAGCGACATGCCATCAACTTCAGCTGCCGCTGCAGCCAAGATGATGCAGGCCCCGTCCTCTGCACTGCCAACCAAGCCATCGCTATCCCCCCTCGCTACCATGGTAACCAGAGCCTCTGCTGCAGCTGCCCGTGCTGCCATTCCTGCTGCTGCCAAAGCCACCGCCCCTACTCGCGTAGCTGCCGCCGCAGCTAAACGCCCTCCAGCTGCAACAGCTCCCACTACCGATAGCGCTGCTCGTGTAGCCGCCCACGCCGCTCAACGACCCCCAGTTTCTGCTGGTGCCCTTGCAGCACCTGTGCAGAGCCAGCCGACTCTGCACGAGATCCTCAAGGAGCAGCGGAAGAAACTGGAAATGGAGAGGAAAGCTACTGCCAAGCTGATGGCAGAGTATGAGGCCCGGAATAAGAAGCGGACGACCACCTTGGGCTCGCCGATTATAAAGGCGTCGGCCAAGAAGAACAAGCGGACAGCAATCCCCAAGGAGAAGAATGACTCTAGCCAGAGGAGTATA